GTAGAGACAGGGTTGAATCATATATGAGCATTTGTTACAATAATGCCAGCAGTATGGGAAAGCAGCAGATCATACACAAAAATCTGCTCTGCCCTTCCCCATAAGGCAGCTGCTTATATTGGGTAGGAGGTAAAGATTAGGTGGGAGAGTAAGAATTACAGACATGGGAAAGTAGGCAAGGTATTATGGTGATAGGTTACAGGCAATGTGGACTGGGGGAGGGGGTGGGGTTGCAGAGGGCGGGTGCCTCCAGGCACCTCTGGGACCAGATTACAGGCAATAGAGGCTGGGGGTTGCAAAAGGCAGATACCTCTGGTACTAGATTGTTTCAGCCACGAGGTTGTAAATATTTCCATATTAGACAGTTCTTGGGAAAGGAGAATGGCCTTCATTCCAATGTTAGCTCCCATGTCCCAGGACTTACAACTCTCAACCAGGCTAGAATGTGCTCTCTGTCAGAGGGCGATGAGGCCTGGACACAGAAGGTGGTGGCAATGGTATCTAGAGGTGGTATTCCTTAAGTGAGAGTAGGGTTTATAACCTGGTGGAGACATACTGTGTTATAAATTTTAGTATTATTGGGGTAAAAGGTAGAGATAAATTCAGGATCTAGTTCAATTCATAGGTGAAAAATAAAGCTTTGAGTCTAATATTCACAATGGTGCGTTATAGAGTCTACTGAAACACAATTTCCCCCTTAAAACCACCCTAATTTTTATTAAGGAGTCAAATTAAGACCAATCTATTTACTGTATTAAATCTAGTTTCAATTTGGCCTGATCATTTGCATGAACACAATAAGAATAGCAATTGATCATATAGGCCTTAAAAAAAAACCCACCTGCTTTGCTGGTATTTCATGATTGAGCTTTAATTAACCCCTCAGGGCAAAACAGCTGAGCCACCTAGTTGCCATCCGGTTTGCCTACAATACCTGTAGAGTTGGGTGAGGTCCCCAATGATGTCTTGAGTTTCTTTCCTTGCCATCTCTCAGGAAAGCAACCTTCGTTCCTTACCTGGAAAGACTGCCATGAACCATGTGACCAAGCAAGGTATCAGGGTATTTCTCCAAGGCCCTTACATTGGCTTCAAAGTCAGTTTTTATTCCTTAAAGCTTTCTGGTGACATCCAGAGTCTGGGCATGTCTCTCTCAGACATGACATTCCAGTAAAAGTCTTGGTTAATAGAACCACAATTGGAAACTGGTTTTGTTGAATTCATGCAAGGAAACGTATTGCCATGACTCATTCATTATCTCCATATTATCCCCACCAAATCCACCATGGGCTTGCATACCTTCAGTGATTGGCATCTCACCAGTTTTGGAAGCAGTCTGTTCCATCTCTGGACAACTTAGAGTATTCAGGCACCCTTATTTATATAGATATTTATATCGAGTTACACACAATAAGGCTCTTTCTCCCACTGCAAGCTGTCCTTATGTTTGTAAAGAGCCCTTCCCCAAGCATTCTTTTTCTATAATATGTCTTTGTTACTTTAACTGCTTTTCACTGATAATGGCCCCCATTAGCCTGCTAATTTGATTTTGAATGCTTTATCAAAGCCCTCTTTAAATGGCATTCATCAAAGCCAAGGTCAAACTTCCACAGGGGTGGGGGGTGTTCAAATTAGAGGAAGTTGAGTACTTTTCCTTATTTCTTTCTTCTGATACTGAACTGGTATAAATGAGGCATTTTCCCCTTCAACTAAGACCCTAATTGAGCTTTCTTCCTATAAGATCTTGGCTCCTTCCCTGTAGGCTGGCTGTTTCTTTGATGATTTCATGCTGCCATCTGGTGGTTAAATCAGGTCATTTCTGCTTTTTTTTTTTTTTTTTTTTTTTTTTTTTTTGGAGAGGAAGCATAGTTTAACAAATTTATCAACCTGTAAGTAAAATAAAAGAGAACTTGATTTCTTCCTCCCATATAGTTCCTGCTATATGTCATGCGTTTGGGTTAAGTAAAGCCTGAAGGTGATAAATGGCAGGAAAGAGCAGGGATGCTCCAAGGTATGATGCAGGGTACTAGGCAAATATTTTTTGGAGTCCCTTTTTATTTAAGTAATCTGATTTAAATATATTATAAAATTCATGGGCTCATGTAAGGTATAGTAATTTAGCAATAAAGGGCACAGAAGAGGTACTTACATATTTGTTTATTCAGCAGTTCATGTGAAAATTCTTCATAATGTCCCTTTTCAGGTCCAAAAAACATTTGTTTATGTTTTCGTGTTTTTTGTTTTGTTTTGGTTTTTGTCAAATGAACCCTACCTGACTAATATAAAAGGTAGCAACACTGTTGCTACTTCCAATGCAACTAGTCTTTGGAACCTGTTTGTATCTAAAAACTATAGTTTTCTTGCCTCTGCAGTTCTTTTAGCCTAGGTATCTGCAGTAGACCATGATAGCCTAGACTCGCCATGGTCGGCAAACTGAGGCTCGGGAGCCACATGCGGTTCTTTGGTCCCTTGAGCCTTAGGAGTACCCTAATTAAGTTAATAACAATGTACCTACCTATATAGTTTAAGTTTAAAAAATTTTGCTCTCAAAAGAAATTTCAATCGTTGTACTGTTGATATTTGGCTCTGTTGACTAATGAGTTTGCCGACCACTGGTAGAGCCTGTGTCCGACGTGAGCGAGAGTCACCCAAAATCATCACGATATCACCATTTCGGCAGCTTAATCTCACTGAATCTCATGAAAGAAATTACTGTGACAATCAATGGAAATGGTCTGCTAGCCTGATCACTCTCCCAGAACCAGGGCCTGGATGCTGAACCCCAGGGCAACTAGTTTATAGCCCGTCTTTTCACCTTTTAGGGTGTTTTTATGGAACAAAATATTTTAGTTTAAAGTCATTTTTTTGTAGTTGATGCATTTTGAATGGTAAGAAAATTTTCGTAAGTCAAGGTCTAAAAAATATGGGATATTTCCACAATTGTAGAAAATTGTTTTTGGACAGAGCTGTATTTGACAGACCTAGTTACTTTAACAATTGATAGCTTGTGTTAAAGACACAATAAGCTGGAAAAGGTTAAATTCTGTAGTGGAGTCAGATTCCTAGTGATACCATTATTTCATGGCCTATAGAGAAGGAGTTTAAGATTTTTCAGGTGGCCTGATAGTATTGCTCTTGGTGGTAGTTGGTTTGCTTTCTAGGTCCTCCCGGTTAGTCCAGGCTGAGATCTCAGGTGTTAAGGGAATACTACTTATTTATAATCCTTTTCTTTCCTGATGACTGAGTGATATCAAAGTTGTTGTAGCTACTACCTTTCATAGGTACCATTCAAATATACCATGATTATTACAGTAATTTTAAACTCCACACAAATCCCAGAATTCTCACTAGAGAGATCTGACACACAAGGTAGTCTCATCAACAGAGTTATTTCACTAAAGTGCAACCAAAGTTATCTGAGTCCAAGGATCTCTATCCTGGGATCCTCGTGTTGCTATTAGGTTTTTAAACCAAATAGAAGTCAACATCCCTCAATCTCAATGTACCAATCTATACAATGAACCAATGCCCCCCTCATTCATTTCATAGGACTTTGTGAAAACTTAAATTAGTGTGAGATCTTATAGTAGTCCTTATTTGTAGGCTTTTGCTCATATAGTTTAATTTTGGGGGTGTTCAGGAAGGCTCCTATGGAAAATTATCTTTCAGAATGAAATCTTACTATTAAATTATCTTTGTGTTAAGCATCGTCTTCTCCAGGGTATCACTTTTGTAACAAAATATTCTTCATTTGGAATAAGTCAGATTACTTTTTTGTGTGTGAACAAAGAGCATATATAAGATGGAATGTACCTTTTAAGGATGAAAATTTGCATACTTTTTTATATGGAGACTGGAGGGTATGCTTGTCTGATAGTATTACTTTGCAGTTGACAGTAGTAGGGCAATGTATCTTTTGACTTTCTAGGAGTTGTGAGATACAGGTTACAAATAGTGCTCCATGATTATTTAGGGGTCAAATAATTTCTTTTTTTCCTTTCTCTCTGTTGCTCACCATCTGACTTATAATTGAAGAGAAAGTCCCTTGAAGAAGGTTCTGACCTTGGAGATCCTTCCTACCTTCTTTGGTTCAAAAGTTTGATGGGGGAGTTATATACATTTGGATACTTTATTAACATATCAAAGCTCTACCTGCCCTTCCTTCCTTTTCAAAACCAAACTAAACTAAATTGTTTTCTTTTGTTATGTTGTTTGTGGAGAATTTTAGCATCAGTAATTCTATTTACTTAAGGTCCCCATTTTAGATAACCCATGGCGACCCATTGAAGTTATGGTTCCTGGACTAGAAATGAAGCCTATTTACAGTCTAGTATACTTTCAGATATGTTGCTATTTTCTTGAAATCTCCTTTTTCTAAATTTTAAGCCAGCTAAACCACAAAGATGTCTAGCTTTCAATCTTTTAAGCCACGCCTCTTCCACTCCCTCTGCACCCAGTCTCCACCCCCTTGCTTTTTAAAGCCCTGCAATTTGCTGCTACCGCCATATTTCTTCTTCTCCTGAGGTGGAATGGAATCTTGCTAATGAAGATGTCTTCAGCCATGTGGTTCTTTCTGGAACATTTTCCAGCGCTCAACCACTCTTTATGGCGCATTTCTTTTAGAATATTCACCAAAATTCTATAAAATATTTTGAAAATTCTAAACTTTCTTCCATCATTTTATTGACACCTCCATATTTTTTAGGTATTTGGGATATTTTTATGACATTTTTCATTTTGAAAAAATTTTTCTTTGCAACAATTTTTGGTTGAGTCCTCTGTTTTATGATTTAGTTCTCTATTTCCTCCACTTTTCTATATTTTGCCCATCAGGGTTGCGGATACCTGATTTTATTTATTTACTTTAAAAAATGTGCCCATCGGGGCCGCGGATACCTGCTTTTAATTTTTTTCCCCCCCTTAGCCCATCGGGGCCTCGGATACCTGCTGTGTCCTCCTTTTCCCCAAACCACTGGCCCACCGGGGCCTAGGATACCTGCTTTTTTTTTTTTTTCTTCTTTTTATTGCCCATCGGGGCTTCGGATACCTGCTTTAATTTTTTTCTTGCCCATCGGGGCCGCGGATACCTGCTT